AGGGTTGAGGGTTGAGGGTTTAGGGTTTAGGGTTAAGGGTTAAGGGTTTAGGGTGTAGGGTTTATAATACAGGGTTAGGGTTTAGGGTTCATAATATAGGGTTCAGAGTTTAGGGTTTAGGGTTTAGGGATCTGTAACTTGTGTAGCTGGGGAATCGAGCGTTGGGATGAATACAACGGCTCTGAAATGAAATCCTTCGTGAAGCGGTAGTTGGCAGAACCACCATTCGTTCATCGGGATGTTTTTTGGGGGCGCCTTGGGCCTTTTGGGTTCAAGGGGTTCAAGGGGTTCACGGGTCACGTGATATGCGACAGCAAAGGCATTCCGCCTGCAACACTGAGGCCCTAGAGACTTATGTACCTGGTACCTTATGTACCTCAGTTTGCGCTCTGGCTGCTGCATTAAATTGGTCGGAATATTGGTTACCCTAAACCCTGAACCCTAGACCCCAAACCCCAAACCCCAAACCCCAAACCCCAAACCCCAAACCCCAAACCCCAAACCCTAAACCCTAAACCCTAAACCCTAAACCCTAAACCCCAAACCCCAAACCCCAAACCCCAAACCCCAAACCCCAAACCCCAAACCCTAACCCTAAACCCTAGACCCTAACCCTAAACCCCCCGAAGCAAAGCACTTGCACTTGGAGTCCATGTAGGTGCACGCCTTGCACAATCACATGCCAAGGTTTAAGTTGGACTGTTGAAAGCCATCGTTGTTTAGGGTTTAGGGTTTAGGGTTTAGGGTTTAGGGTTTAGGGTTTAGGGTTTAGGGTTAGGGTTTAGCTTTACATCTTTTGAAAAGGGACCCTTAAACATGTAACTTCTCAAAGGGTTTCCAGGAGCAATTCTTTAGCACAGTGAGTGCTGGACAAGAAGGGGATAATTCCAGGTGAGGTACCCTGGATGTTGAGGCCACCATTTCTCAGACATCGAACCGTAAATGGTGCAGCCTGCAATATCTTGCAAACGCAGCCTTTCTTGACGGTGGTCATGCTGCATTTGTCAGGCCCACAGGGGCCGGAACTGACTCTCAAGGCGTATCACGGACGTGTGCTCGTGCAATTCTTTGCCACATGTTACGAATCCGTCTGAATATTAGTTTTACCTGAAACCCTAAACCCTAAACCCGAAACCCTAAACCCGAAACCCCAAACCCTAAACCCTAAACCCTAAGCTGAGGGTAATTGCCCTGGATTTCCTTTGCATTACAGCACATTCTCTTTGCTGGTTCGCACTCTTGGGTGTCAGCTTCTCTGATTTTCTGCAACCGAGGTTTTCTTATTCAGTGCTGCAACTCAGGGTTCAAAGTGTTGTAGTTACAAACTGTCACCCCAGACCATCAACCCTCAACCCTAAACCTTAAACCCTAAACCCTAAGCCCTTGCATCTAAACCCTAAATCCTACACCCTAAACCCTAAACCCTAAGCCCTTCACCCAAATCTCTGAAAGCCAAACCCACTCTTGGAAAGGTTGCGGACAAGGCTGGCCGGCCGACGTGCAGCGTTTGTGCCTTTATCAGCATGTGTATGGTTCAGGGTTTAAACCCTAAACCCTAAACCCTAAACTCGAAGATGTCTAAGATTGGCTCATGTATTGCCCGGGGCTAAATGGGGGCTTCTCAATAATATGTGCACATAATCTAGGTAGGCCCTTGGGATATTTCATAATTTCCCTTAGGTTTAAGAGGATCATATTCAGGAACATTTTTCACCGTGTTTTAAGGGAGTCCTAGGAATTCATAAGAACCATAGTATTGTTTTATCATTTTCGTTTCTTTTTTTTTTTTTTGGGGGGGGGGTGGGGTTGTATATGATTAGGAGTAGCCAATTGGTTTTGGGAAGTACCGGAATGGGTTTTGTCGGGGTTCAAGGATTTGGAGCTTGAGGGTTCGGGGTCTTGGGCTAGAGCAGGGCTGCGAGCAACTAGTACGTTTGCAAGTGTTGAGGGTTTAGGGTTCAAGGTTTAGGGTTTCAATGTGTCTCTTGTTTGCAAGGTGCACCCGTAAACCGGTAGTGGGTCACATGTCAGCCCTGAAAAATGCAACGTGAGCCATAGTCCCAGACAGACATTCACACGGCCATATGTACACCCTCCACAGCTGTTCTGTTTCACTATGTTCGACGAACCTCACAATCACGTACCGCAAAAGGAGCTACAATGTGCCCACCAGTTGTCCTGGAATGATGTTGAATGCCGCATGCTGATGAAGTGGTGGTCGTGAAGTTTTGTTGGCCGTGATATGTTCGAGTTGGGTGTCAGGGCCTACAAGCCCCTCGTCAGACTTAGGGCAAAACCCAAAATCCTAGCAAAGGTCGCCTCCTTCCTGGACCAGAACTCCAGCGGCCTTGTCTTGCAGTTGCTGGAGGCATTCCGGTGTGTTCGAGGCTTCAGAGAAGGAGTTTGAAGTGGTTTTTGAAGGGGTTTCAGTCAGTCAGGTTGGAGGGGTGCAATGCCCTACACCCTAAACCCCACACCCCTACAAGGGGTTCAGAGTTCAAGCTTTCATTCCATCTGGAGCTCAGGGTGTAGACTTCGGCGTCTTCGGGGGTTGTATTCGAGCGGCTTTCTAGGTTCAGAGTTGGTAAACTCACGAGCTCCTCTGATTATCCCCAAACCCTACAAATCTTTAGATTTCAGCTCAAATCTTCCTAAATAAAACCTAAACCCTCAACCCATTGCGTCTTATTTGCGACCTCATCCCCAGTCTCCTGAACGGAGTAAGTAAGGGTTTAGGGTTTACTTGCTTGGAAGCCCATTTGACATGGACCCTACTAAGTCACTTAATCCCCTAGCAATCTCCAGAACCCAAGTTGCTAACCCATAAACTCTAAACCCCACTTTGAAAGTCAAAAGGGCTTCCAAGTAGGGTTTAGGTTTCCGGGTGACTTTTCACCGTTGCTGGGGGGAGGGGGTGACGTTATCCCTAACCAGCAGGTAGAGAGCTGCCCCCACCAGCCCCCCCCCCTCCCCCCCCCCCCACGTTATGAACCCCAAACCCGACCCTGCAGCCGACCCCCCCCCCCTCCCCCCTCCCCCCCCCCCCTCCCCTAAACACTAAACCCTAAAAAAAGCCCAAACACCAAAACTTCATGCCCCAACCCCCGCACTCCACTCTCCCTGACCGTTAACCCACGTTTCAAGCCGCACTCACCCCCCCCCCCCCCCCCCCTCATGCAAAAACCCTAAACCCTAGCCCTAAACCCTAAACCCCAAACCCTAGCCCCAACATTAAGCCTAGAACGAAACCCGAAAACCCTAACTCCACATCATGACGCCCTGAAAGCTTGAGACCTTATGAGTTGAGAAACCTCTTGAAACCCTAAACCCTAAACCCCAAACCCTAAACCCTAAACCCTAATAGCCCTAAACCCTAAACCCCAAACCCTAAACCCTAAACCCTAATAGCCCTAAACCCTAAACCCTAATAGCCCTAAACCCTAAACCCCCTAGAGCCAGGCGTGGCAGGGCTTCTGCCGGGCCAAAGACTTGGCCCGAGCCTGGGCTGGCCGCCAGCACCAGGAGGGAGGCTGGGGTTTAGGGTTTAGGGTTTAGGGTTTGGGGTTTGGGGTTTAGGGTTAAGGGTTTAGGGTTTAGGGTTTAGGGGGGGGGGGGGGGGGGTTAGGGTTCAGGGTTTAGGGTTTAGGGTTTCGGGCTTGGGGTATCGGGTATAGGGTTACAGGTTTAGGGTTTACGGCTAGGGTTAATGGTTTTGGGGTTTAGGGTTTTGGGGTGCCTTGGGGCTTTGTGACGTTCTTTCGGGGTGAGATTTTTGTGTTTCAGGGTCTCGGGGCTTTAGGAGCTTTGGGGTTGTCGGTTTCACGGGGTTGCTCTGAACATCTCTGAACCCTAAACCCTAAACCTTAAACCCGGTGATCGGAGGTGTTTGGCTTTAGGTTTTGCGCCGCTTTCATACTCAGTGGATGGATGGCGACGACATTTCCCCAATAAGGGGGGGCGATGTCCCCAGGGCTTCCTAGTATTCTCAGAGACCCCCGCCCTCGCAATGCAGCGTTTGGGGGAGGAGGGGCGGGGGGGTTTTCACTTCCCAACCCATCCAACACGACACGGCGGGCGGACTCCCCCGAAACCCGGAATTAAGCCCCAGAACCCCTAATTAAAACCCGAACCCTAACCCTAGTCCTAAACCCTGAACCCGAAACCCTAAACCCTAAACCCTAAACCCTAAACCCCCCCCTAATTCCCGCAAACCCTAAAACCCCTGAGCTGTCAGAGGCAGGCAAATGCTACGCTGCACCTTTGCAGCCTGGCGACACCGGCACGAAGTCCCTGGGCCAAGGATTGAGGGGTTTAGGGTTTAGGGTTGAGGGTTTAGGGTTTAGGGTTCAGGGTTTAGGGTGTAGGAACTAGGGCCAACTAGGGTGTAGGGTTTAGGGTTTAGGGTTAGGATTTAGGGATTGGGTTTAGGGTTTTGGGTTTTGGGTTTCGGGCCTACGTAGGGTGTAGGGTTTAGGGATTAGGGATCCGGCGGCTCAGTGTTTAGAGGGCTTTGCCTTTCGCAGCGTCGGTCGGGGGGTTCGAAAAAGTGTGTGCGAAATACGAATGACTCAAAAGTACGTCAACAAGTTTCATGTATGATATATACATATATAGATATATATGTATGTATATGTATATGTATATGCATATGTATATGTATATGTATATATACATACATCTTTTTTGTTTTTTACTTTTACGTTTGTGTATGTCTTTATGTAGGATGTATTTATGTGTATATAGGGTCGGCTTCAGGGTTTCCGGGTTGGTGTTGAGGAATTTCAATCAGAAGAGAAAGCTAAGAATCCCATAACGGGGATCACTTAAACCCTATACCCTAAACCCTAAACCCTAAACACTAAACCCTAAACCCTAAACCCTAAACCCTAAACCCTAATCCCCTAACCCTAAAGGTTTAGGGAACTTTAGGGTCTGAGGTTTCGGGCTTTTCTGGGGTGCTGAGGGCGCATTCTACGCGTGCGGCTTCGAGGCATTGAGCCATGGCAGAGACTAGGGTCGTCAACAGAAACCAAACATGCATCCCTAAACCCTAAGCCCTAAACCCTAAACCCTACACCCTAAACCCTAAACCCTACACCCTACACCCTACACCCTAAACCCTAAACCCTAAACCCTAAACCCTAAACCCTAAACCCTAAACCCTAAACCCTAAACCCTAAACCCTATTCAGAAAAAGTGGCGAAATTCGACGCAGATTCCGAGCCCCGGTGCCCTCGAGTGCTCAGGCGGCCCACAGCGCGCGCCGGTCGGGCCTGCGGCTGGCCGAGCGAAGCTCCACTCTGCTTCTGCGAGGTTCGCGCCGCACGAAAACCCTGAAACCCTAAACCCCTAAACCCCGAAACCCTAAAACCCTAAACCCTAAGCCTTAAACCCTAACACCTAGGTTTCGCTCAGTCAGTCAGTTTTCTTGTTAATAATATAATTCAGTCAGGGAAGGTTTAAGTCGAGTACTGTGACTCATTACACATGACACCGTAAGACCTGGCCTTAATAAGAAAAAGTGAGGACGCGAGGACAACCGAGCCCTCTGGGCCATGGAGGCCACTTTGCGGGATTCTCCGGAGATCTTCCGTGGCGTTTCCATTTGTCAGGAAGATGCATCAGGCACAGTCGAGCGAGCTCGCTTGGCAAGCACATGTTGCAGAACAATGCGGGCCCGCTAGAAGGCACTGGCGCCACCTACTGAAGGGGCCTTGCCCGACATTCTCAAGCTCGGTCAATTGCCATACCTCGATAAACCTCGGCTTTTGTTGCTTAGGGTCTTGGGGTTTAGGGTTCAGAGCTTGGGGTTTAGGGTTTAGGGCTTGGGGTTTGGGGCTTCGGGTTTGGGGTTTAGGGTTGAGGGGCTCAGGAGAGTTTGGTTGTGATCCCGGTTTGTGGGTTGGCGCGGTCCGCAAGCTTCAGGGTTTCTATGCACCTATGACCCCTTTGCGTATATACCCTAAACCCTAAATCCTAAACCCTGAATCCTAAACCCTAAACCCTAAACCCATATGACCCACATTCGTAGATACTTGGGCCCTAATTAAAGCTCCTGAATAGGGGCCCCTGTAAGGCCCAATTGTATACCTAGACCCACGAAAAGCCTAGGAATAGAAAGAGTACCCCTTTTTGGGTTAAAGGGGGCTTATGAGGGAACCTAAACCCTATAAAAAGGGGAATAAGGGCCTATGTGGGCTTAGGGAGCTTACATGCGCAGGCGCCTGGGCAGGTTGGCAAAGCGGCCGCCACCCGTCGCAACATTCAGCGGTTTAGGGTCTACAGGGTTTTAGGGTTTAGGGTTTAGGGTTTTGGGGTTTAGGGTTTAGGGTTTGGGGTTTAAGGTTTGGGGTTTAGGGTTTAAGGTTTGGGGTTTAGGGTTTGGGGTTTAGGGCTTTAGGGTTTGGGGGAGTTTGGGAACCGCCCCATATGCCCTCAGCCTTTTCTTGATAAGAAGCCTTGCCTCCCTACTCATCCCAGTGGTCCCCCGCAAACCCTAATTATACCTGAAGTAAGCCCTAAACCCCCTAAACCCTACTGTTCCTTTGTTAAGAAATCGGGTGTCCAATTTGTATTCATTCGTAGTGGAACCTGGAGGACGCTCACGACGAGCCTGAATTCTCGACAGGACCAGCTGGTGCTGCGGGACACGCAGGCAACGCCCGGCAAGGACACGCATTCCTCCATGCCCTGGCGCTGGACGGGCTACTGCGCTGCGTCGGGCGTGCTGGGCGAGGCTGTGTACAAGCCATGCAAGCACTGCCACACGAACATCAACCCAGACACGAGGCATTTGCGAGAAAAAGGTTGATGACTTGCTGGTATGGAGTCGCGCAAGACCCGAGGCGCTACATTCCGCAAGGGCTGTATCTCAGATGAAAACGTTGAAGGCTGAGCCCAGCCACAGCCGATTGAAGCCCTAAATCCTGAGCCCATCACCCCAAACGGTGCAAAGCCTTAGCCTTGTCAGCCCGAATTTCATGCCTTAAGTCATGCAAATCCCAAGCTCAACACCCTACAAGCCCTCAGCCCCAAAAGCCTCATAAGCCCCAAAGCCTCATATAAAGGCCCCGAAGCCCGGAACCCCGCACTCAACTTTCCCTAGGCCCTTTAGGAACCCTAAAGCCCGCAATGTGTGTCAGAAACCCTACAAGCCAAAAAAAAAACAACTCAGCCCTACAGAGAGGGACGCTGTCCAGAGCATCCCGCTCTCAACCCCCCCCAAGCCCCTCTTGGTCATGAACCTTGTAAGCCAGAAGTCTTAGACGCGAAGCCCTAAAACCCAAAGCCCTACAAGGCCTGAACTTGCAAAGCCCCGAAACCTTGAACCCTAAGCCTGAAGCCCTTATATAAGGCCTTCCACCCCATAAACTCAACCCCACCCCCCCCCCCCCCCCCCCCCCAAAAAAAAAAAAGGGAGCCTAGGCCTGAGCCCAAAATCCCTACACCCAAACATCCTCAAGCCCTGCACCCTAAACCCGCAAACCCTAAACCCTAAGCTCCATACACCCAGAAAGCCTCGAGCCCTGCACCCTAGACCCCTAAACTCTAAGCCTAAACCCCCTACAAGCCCCCTAAAACCCCCTAAGGCCCCCCTAAACCCCTAAACCCTAAACCCCCTTGAAATTTAGCAGTCTAAGGGTAGTTACTTGGTCCCTTAATAGGAGCCCTTAACAGGATACCCCTTATATACCCCTTGTATACCCTGTACAAATTTAGGGACCATTAGGGACCATATTAAGGGCGCATGAAGCTACCCTCAGAAACACCTAAGCCCCTACCCTAGCCCCTAAACCCGAAACCCTAAACCCTACACCCTAAACCCTAAACCCCTAAAAACCACTGAGGTCTTCTACTCCGGGCTGAGCTCCGGCTCCGCGACACCGAGCGCGCGGCCGCGGAACTCCAGCGCTTGCGGGGTGAGCCACTTGGGGCCGCATTGTTTTGTTTTGTTTGTTTTATTTTTTTTCTGTAGGGTTCAGGGGTTTAGGGTTTAGGGTTTAGGATTTAGGGTTTAGGGTTTAGGGTTTAGGGTTTAGGGTTTAGGGGGGGGGGGGGGGGGGGGGGGGGGGGTTTTTTTTGGGGGGTCTTAGGGTATTTTGGGGCTTTAATTTATGTATGGCATTCGTTTTAGGTTATTTGGGGCTTTAATTGAGGGCTTTTTTGGGGGTTTGTAGGGGGGTTTGGGGGGGGGTTTAGGTTTTGGGGCTTTGGGGTGTTTATAGGGGTTCCGGGTTTCGGGCGGGCGGAGGAGTTTGAGTGCCTCAAGGGCTTCCGGCAGTCGACCCTGTCGGCCTTTTGAGGGATAAGGGTTTGACATCGTCGGGTTTAGGGGTTTAGGGGGTTTAGGGGGTTTAGGGGGTTTAGGGGGTTTAGGGCTTTAGGGGGTTTAGGGCTTTAGGATTTAGGGTTTTGGAGTTTAAACGTAGAGATTGGGAGGGGGCCTTCTGGGTTCGGGGATTAGGGTTTAGGGTTTAAGGTTTAGGGTTTGGGCCTTGCCTGAGGCGACTGGGCTTTTTCCCTGAACCCTAGAGTGGAGGCCATGAGGGTTGGGAGACCGCAAGAGCCTGAATTTGTGGTGCCGCGCACTGAAGACCTCGAGTTGTCCTCTACTTGGAGGGTGCCTGGTTTTCTTGTTCTGCTATACAAGCCCACAAACTAAGGCACACCAAACCGGAGGATTCTGTCGCATTTGAGTTTTTTGTTGGTGCTTATGGGAAACTTATTGCCCTCATTGGAGCCTCCCAACCCGAACGAAGAAGGCTGTAGGTCGTCTGAGGGTGGCTCACAAATCTGCACATGAAGCCTCTAAGGAAGATGATCGTATGGCATCTGATCTCAGGCAGGTACCCTAAGCCATCAGCCCAGCCCTAAACCCTACTCCTAAACCCTACTCCTTAAGCTAGTATCCTCAGCCTCAAGCCGCGCCGTTACTTCACAAAGCCCGCACCCCATGGCTCTAACCCTAGACCTCAAGCCGTACCCCTAAACCCTTGAACCCTTAAACTTGGGGGGTTGTTCCCCCTTATACTAGTAGTCCTTAATAGAGACCCTAAACCCTAAACCCTAAACCCTAAACCCTAAACCCTCAACCCTCAACCCTAAACCCTAAACCCTAAACCCTAAACCCTAAACCCTAAACCCTGCCAACCTTCAACGCTTTCACCCAAGAGCCTGAAACCCTTGAACCCTACTTCCTCGTACCCTCGGAGATGCAAGCGGTTTGACCCGGGGTGTAGGGTTTAGGGTTTAGGGTTTAGGGTGAAGGCCTTTGGCCTGAACTCTTTAACCCTAAAACCCTAAGCCCTCAGCCCTCACACCCTAACACCTGAAAACCTGAACGCCCTCAACACCCTAAGACCTTAAACCCGAAAACCTTAAACCCCTAAAACCCTCTAACCCTCTAACGCTGCGACCCTAAACCCTTTCAACCCCAGCAAACTGAGCCTTGAGGTTCACAACCCGAAGCCTTAGAACCGTTTAGGGTTTAGGGTTTTCAGTTAGGCTACAATTTGGACACCCGGGGGGGGGAGGGGGTGCGGGGAGGGAGGCCGGAGAGGGGGGGGGGGGGAGGCAATCTCTCAGCGACAAGGACCCAATTTCTTGCGTTCCAAACCTGCAAGTTGAGCCTTGAGAACCTAGATCACTCAAAAAAGCCTCGAAAACAGGCTTTTTTTGATATGATCACTAAAAACTTTGTAAACCGGCTTTTTTGGTATCAAAAATCAGAAAGAAGGTAGGCTTTGGGATCTCCAGCTAGGAAGCTTCTTTAGGCTTGGGGAGCTGCGAAGTCCTTGCTGTCTGAGCAGCAACTAGGGTTGAGGGTTGTAGGGTTCAGGGTTTAGGGTTTAGGGTGGGTACAAGGGCCAGTTCAAGATGAAGGAACAGGCCCTCGGACTGAACTACACAAGGGATGCATTTTCCGAGACCACATGCGGCACCGGTCGAAACCTCTTAGCATAAGCATGTACGACTGGATGCACTGTTTCCTGGTCGGCGGCGTGTTCCAGGTGGAAGTTAACCTGCTGCTGAGTGTCCTGAAGAGAAGCGACATTCGACATCAGGATCTGTGCCTTGCTATTGAAGAACAACTGCATCATGTAGACACACGCGCACACACACACATATCCCAATTAACGACTGTTAGGACAAGGGGGAGCATCCCTAACCCCCAAACCCTAAACCCTGAACCCTAGACCCCAAACCCTGAACCCTAGACCCTAGACCCCAAACTCTAAACCCTACACTCCAGACACTAAACCCCAAACCCTAGACCCTACCGAGGAGCCCTTAGACCCTCAGCCCTGATTGTCGGCTTCGGCGCCCCTCGCGCAGGGCTCCGGCCGCTGCTGCACCGGGGCCTTCTGGCCTGGGCTCGGGTGGCCAACCAGAAAGGTGCGGGTTCGGGGGGTTAGGGGGGCCATTTGGGGTTAGGGTTTAGGGCGTTTTAGGGTTTAGGGTTTAGGGTTTAGGGTTTAGGGGGTTTTAGGGCCATTCAGGTTTAAGGTTTATATGGGCCCTTTTGTGTTTAGGGTTGGGGGTTTAAGGTGTTGAATATGGCGCCCTGTAGATTGTTGTGAGAAGGGCCTCTTCGGGTTTAGGGTTTAGGGTTTAGGGTTTAGGGTTTAGGGTTTAGGGTTTAGGGTTTAGGGTTTAGGGTTTAGGGGTCTTTGGGGTGGGGTCTTGAGGTCTTCCTGAGGTTGTTTTGGAATCAATTTATAGTTCTATGGGCCCCAAACCCCTACAACCCTGTAAATTATAAGCCTCAGAGGCTTTTTTTGTTTTGCAGGGCCCCCCAAACTCAATGAATGGCTCCTAAACCCTAAACCCTAAACCCTAAACCCTAAACCCTAAACCCTAAACCCTAAACCCTAAACCCTAAACCCTAAACCCTAAACCCGGGCATGAGCTACACTCCGGCGTCGCAGTCAGCTACTCGAAGCTTGGCGGGTCGTGAACGTGGTCCTGGGCTTCCCCAAATGGGTTGAGGGTTTAGGGTTTAGGGTTTAGGGTTTAGGGTTTAGGGTTTAGGGTTTAGGGTTTTTTTGCGAGGAGAACACATCACGAGGGTTTCGCTGCCTTGACACAGTATGTGGGATGCCTGACCTGTACACCTTCACTCATGAGTTCTAACCCTAAACCCTAAACCCTAATACCTCAGCTCAGCTTCCTGGCATGATTCTGCCCTTGATACCGAGACATGCAAGCTTTCATCAGCACATTGTGGGCACCTAGGGCTTGCAGGGCTTTAGGTTGTTTAGGGTTTATGGGGCTTACAGAGTTTCTAGGTTTTTGTTTTAGATGTTAGGTGTTTTTTTCGGTTTCGGTGTCTTAGGGCTGTAGGCCTTCAGATTCAAAGTTCAGCGCCTTGTCGTTTTTGTCCCGAAATCCCCAAACCCCTATCAAGCCCGTGGTCACGTAGAACTGGACCCCCCCCCCCAGACCCCAAAGACGTAAAGCTGCAACCCAAACCTTCAACCCTAAACCCTAAAACAGTCGAGGGATTTTGGGGTTCAGGACCAGGATTTTCAGGGTTCAGGGTTTCAGGGCCTTAGGGTTTCAGGGTTTAGGGTTTATCGGGTTTAGAGCACCTAAAGATGGGAAAAAGGAACCGGAGCTGCAACGATGTCCAAAACTCCCTAAACCCGAAACCCTAAACTCCCTAAACCCTAAACTCCCCAACCCTAAACTCCCTAAACCGTAAACAGCTGGGGGGGGTTTAGGTTGTTGGGATAACCTATGCTCGCTACCATCAACACGTCCTCCAACCCTACGATAAGTAGGGTTTAGGGTTTGGGGTTTGGTGTGTGGGGGGTTTGGGGTGTGGGGTTTAGGGTGTAGGGCTTCTAAGGCATCCCAAAAGCGCGTGCCAGGCGCGAGAAACAAGGCGGCGATGGCCCTCCTTTCAGGCGGAGCAAGGGTTCCGGGATCCGGGCATCCGAGACCCGAAGCCGCAACCCGAAGTGGGGTTTAGGGTTTAGGGTTTAGGGTTTAGGGTTTAGGGTTTAGGGTTTAGGGTTTAGGGCAAGCCCCAAGCCCTAAAACCCCCAAATCCACCAACCCCTAAACCCTACACCCCAAAAAACCCAACCCTAAACCCTGAACCCTAAGCCGAGATGAAGCTGCGAGCTTTTCGAGCCTTCAGAGTTTAGGATTTGTCAGAGGTCGGAGCTTTAAACCCTAAACTTTAAACCCCTAAGCCCAAAGCACCCAACACTGCTTAAAACACCCTCAGCTGATTGTCGGAAATCGGGCTCGCGACGTTTACGGGCTGTGGCTGTACCTAGAAGTGAGCTACCCACATCAGTACTAGGATACATTGGAGTCATTTTCTTCGGAGCGGATCCGGTGCCACCGATAAACCCCGCCAAGCACAAATGCTTCGTTTGTCCCAGGTCACTGGGGAACCCAAACCTCGAGCTCTGAAACCCGGAAACCCTAAAGCCATAGACCTTGGGATGTTACCCCTTATTATATGAACAGTCCTTAACAGGGGTTACAATCGGGGGTACGATAATCTCTACTAAGGACTGGTAGCATTAGGGGGAACATCCCAACATAGACCCTAAACCCTAAACCCTAAACCCTAAACCCTAAACCCTAAACCCTAAACCCCTAGAGTTCAGAGCCCGGAGTCGACTTCCCTTCACGCCCGCGACAGGTTCGAATCGCGGGATCCAAGCCGGCTGCTTCTCAGCCTGGCGCGGCAGGCGGGGTTTGGGTTTAGGGTTTAGGGTTTAGGGTTTAGGGTTTAGGGTTTAGGGTTTAGGGTTTAGGGTTTAGGGTTTAGGGTTTAGGGTTTAGGGTTTAGGGTTTAGGGTTTAGGGTTTAGGGTTTAGGGCTCAGGGTTTAGAAGAAACCCTAAACTTTGTTTAGGGTCCAGGGCTAGTAGGGTTTACCTTAGAACCCCTGGAGCAGGCTCTTCGCGTGGCGGCGGGCTTTGTGCCTGGCACGCGCCACGCTGCAGAAGCCGACCCAGGATCAAGCCCCAGGGTTTTGTGTGCCTGGGGGACGCAAGCCCTAAACTCTCAACCCTAAACCTCTAACCCCCTAACCCCCTAACCCCCCTAAACCCCTAAATTTAAGAGCCTCCGGCTCAAGCCGCCGACCCCGCTGGAGCATAGTTGAGAGGTCTAAACCCGCTCGCATGGTTCGAAGATCATCCCAGTCTGCTCGGCAGAGTTCTGTGAAACGTTTGGGGGGAAAAAAGACGGGGGGGGGGGGGTGGGGGGGGGGGGGGGGGGGGGTGGGGGGTGGGGGGTGTGGGGGGGGGGGGGTGGGGGGGGTTGGGGAGGGGTGGGGGGGTGGTGCCGAAAACGCTGATTTTGCTGAGGGCGCCCCTACCCCCCTGTGCTGAACCGCCTGTTTACGCTGTGCGGGTGGCGCGGTCCTCCACGAAAAAATTGTGCACCAACCCCCCCCCCCCCTGGGTTTTGGGGGGTAAAGGAGGGAATCACCTCCTTTTCCCATCCAACACGCCGCCAGGGTCGGCGGACCCCTAAACCCCTAAATACCCCTAAACCCCTAAACACCAAATTAAGCCCTTAAATCAACCCCTAAACCCCTAAACCTCTAAACCCCTCACCACTATGAACCTTGTGAACCTTAAACCCTAACCCTTATGAACCCTCAAAGGCACAGGCAATTGTGTTGTAGGGAAATGCAGGGGTTCAGGCTTTAGGGGTTTGGGGTTTAGGATGTAGGGGTTTTAGGGGTTTCGGGGTTAAGGGGTTAGGATTATCGGGGGTAGGTGTTCTGAGGTTCTGGTTGAGGGATTTGAAGGTTTTCGGGTTTAGGGCTTAGGGTTTCGGGAGTGCTCGTGGGGTGACATGCGATACAGAGTGCAGTAAACCCTAAACCCTAAACCCTAAACCCTAAACCCACAAGAAGGACAAGGTGGGCCGGGGCCTGGCAAGGCCTCGGGGCCCCCAATATTGCCTACTGCTGATGATTGCTTGTGCCCTGTGTTTTTGGGGGGTTTAGGGTTCAGGGTTTAGGGTTTAGGGTTTAGGGTTTAGGGTTCAGGGTTCAGGGTTTAGGGTTTAGGGTTTAGGGTTTAGGGGGTCTTATAGTACGTTACCACTCCTTGAAGCCCCAAGGAGCCAGGCCATATAGTACATTAATATGCTTCGGCCTTGAAGGAGATTCCTCTGTAGCAGCTTTAGGGCCCAAGCAAAAGCTAAGTGTCTAGGTACTGGATCCTTAGGAAAGGGAGACCAGTTCTTTGCTTATTTTTGTTGCCCAGTTTGTGGCACGCTGTGAGAATTATCTTACTTCTGCCACCCAAGACAGTGGCCAAAATCGAAGCCGCCATCTTCGAGAACGTAGCGCCCTCGTCGTCAAGCCCGTCCCTGCAACCATACGTCCTCCCCTCAACCTAGACTAGGATGCCCAGTAGTGCCCTTATTCCCTTTTTGGGGGGTTTAGGTTCCCTTATAAACCCCTTTAAGCAAAAAAGGGCGCCCTTTTTTAAGCCTTGGTTACTGGGCAGACTAGTAGATGCTCTCAAGCCCGAGCCCTAGATAAGAACCTAGTCGTAAGATGCAAACTCTAAAGTCCAGACACTACATCCCAAAAAACCCAGAACTCCCAAACCCCTAAACCCCACAACCCCACAACCCCAAGACCCTGAACCCCAAAACCCCCTAATTCCTTACTCCCTAAACCCCCTTAACTACCCTAAACCCCAAAAACTTAAACCAAAAAAGAGCCAAGACCCCCAAAACCCTAAACCCCAAAAAGCCCTAAACTACCCAAAACCCCCGAAAAACCCTACAACCCATAAACCCTTAAACCCTAAACCCCCAAAAAAACCCCAACCCCAAACCACAAACACCCCAAAATCCCAAAAAAAAACCGAAACCCCAAAACCCTAAAACCTAAGCCCTTAAACCCTAAACCCCAACAAAAAACCCAAACCCCAAATTCCAAGCGGCCTGATCTCGCAAGGAGCTCCTGCGCTCCACATTGGCAGCCTGGGTCGAGGCGAGTTCGGGCTTGAGTGGCATGTGGGGTTTAGGGTTTAGGGTTTAGGGTTTGGGGTTTAGGGTTTAGGGTTTAGGGTTTAGGGTTTAGGGGGCTGAGGGTTTCGGGTTTAGGGTTGCTTACTGGTTCTTAGCAGGGTTTCCGAGACGAAACAGCTCAAGTTTGGGTTGAGTCAAGTCTCGGCACCCTTGAGTCCAACGTTTGGCACACTTATCTCTTCGAGTTTGGGTAGTCGCAGTCGGGTTCTGAAGGTTGTGGGGTTTCAGGGTTTAGGGCCTAGAATTTAGGGTTCAGGGTTTAGGGTTTAGGGTTTAGGTTCCGGGCAACTTTTTGAGGTGTCTAGGCAGGGTGTGGGACCTCAGCTCAGACCCCTTAAACCCTACGCCCCCCCAAAACCCTCTGAAAATTCCCCAAGCCTACAGTTTCAAAGCCCCAAAGCCAAAATGGGGGGTTTCCGAAAATCGGGTACCCTTTTTGGGGGCTCCTTTGAAAGGATTCTGTTGTATCTTGGGGTTAAGACGTGTCCGATATTTATCGGAAATCCCCAAATGGTTTGTGAAACCGCAGACGGCCTTAGGTCACAGGATCTTGCGTGTGTGCCAGAACCCTACAAACAATCTCCGCAAAGCGAATCCGAGCTCAACAGGGTGTTGGGGGCCTGAGGGTTTACATGGGGTTCAGGGTTGAGGGTTCTGAGGTTTTGGGGCAGGGTTTCGGGTCCGAGGGTCTGAGGTTTGGGGATTGGGGCTTTGGTGTTTTTAAATTTGGGCTGTCCCAAACATCACCAACCTTGGAGAGCAAATCAAGCCTAAAGTTGGTGTTTTAGGGTTTTCGGGTTTAGGGTTTAGGGTTTAGGGTTTAGGGTCGTATACCCTAATGCCACTCTAATCCCTATTCAAGTTATATGAGGTAGGGTTTATATTCCTTGTATTGCCACAGAGGACGTCCAAAATGTACACTCGCCAATAACAAAGGAGCCTTACATACACTCACCAAGAATAGTAATCTAAACCCTGTTACCACAAACCCTAAACCCTAAACCCTAAACCCCAAACCCCAAACCCCAAACCCCAAACCCCAAACCCCCAACCTCAAACCCCAAACCCCAAACCCCAAACCCTAAACCCTAAACCCTTGTAGGGGTTCCTGTAGTCCCCAAAAGGAAGGGAAGTTCTTGCGCAGGCACGCCAATGGCAGGAGGGGCATCGCCGTGCGAAGGTGGATCTGCGAGGGCACCTCGGCGGCCCTTCTTTGTTTTTTTGGAAGCCCTCAAGAAAGCCCCGAGGGTTTAGGGTTTAGGGTTTCGGGTTTAGGGTTTAGGGCTTAGGGCTTAGGGCTTAGGGTTTATGCCCGCCTGTTGAAACGCTGGATTTCCAACGTGGTAATTGGGTCCATCTGAGACTGGATTTCATTGCTGTGCACATGTAGTCTTTGGCATAGGATTTTGACATGACATGAGCAGGATTAGCGCATGCGGGAGTTTCACGCCCCTGTAGCGGCGGGAAAAGCTGGAAGCTAACACAGTGCATATTTCCAAGTGTGCTTCAACATAGTGATTGAAAGACAAGCTCTTAAGGTTTTTGCGGATGTACTGAAGCCAAGGAGGGTGGCAGACGTAGCCGATTGGCATGCTGCTTTGCAGCAAAGGAGCTTCCCAGATACTTTGTTTTTGGGGCTCTTGTAGAGCTTTGGGGCTGAGGGCCTGTGTGGCTTTAGTTTGTTTCGCTAGGGCTTGCAATTTAAAGATTGCAAAGAGGTGCCAGAAACCCCAAAAGATGACTTTGCCAAAAAGCGCCCAGCTTTGAACCCTAAACCCGAATCCCTAAAGCCTAAACCCTAAACCCTAAACCTCAACCCTCAACCCTGCAGAAGCGTCGGCAGAAACGGGGGTTGACCTTAAAGTTTTCGGAGTGTGGCTCCCCTAACCCTAAACTATATAAGCCTAAGCCCTAAACCCTAATCTATAAGTTTGGGGTTTAGAGTTTAGGGTTTAGGGTTTTGGGCGTGTTGGGTGGAGTTCATAGGGTTTGTAGGGTTTAAGGTTTATAGTAGCAACACTCACGAAGGTCCCATTCTTTGGGCTTGCGTGTAGGGTTTAGGTCAGCCATCCCTGAACCCTGTGTCGCCTCAACCCCAAACCTCGCCATGATCCGGCAAAAACACTCAGGGTAACCTGCGAGAGGCGACCAACAAAGGCTTTAGGGTTTAGGGTTTAGGGTATAGGGTTTAGGGTTTAGGGTTTAAGGTTTAGGTTTTACAGCCCTTACATCTCCAGCTTGTGTTTGGAGATGAGGTCCAGCTTGATTGTTTCCAAACTCACGACGCCGAGAAGGTTGGACATAGGCTTCTGTCGACAACTGACAGGGCGACTTCCTCATAGTCGAAATGTTGCAGGACCATTCCCCCCAATAACCTCCACAAGGCATTCGACAGAGGCTGGAGTAAATGGGCAGGTCCTCCGAGCAGAGTAACTGTCGATTGTGAGGGAGGCTTCCAGTCGAGGGAGTTTAGGGTTTAGGGTTTAGGGTTCAGGGTTTAGGGTTTAGGGTTTTGGGACAGAGGAAGTACCATCCTGTCATCAATTGCCGGCAGCGGATGGGGAGAAGCCTGAGGAGCTCAAGGAGAGAACCGTGCCTTATGGCCTGGGTAGTCAACCTTTCATCTTCTTGGTTATGCAGAACGTTGGTACTACGTACTGTCCGATACGGAGCGCCCTCATCCTCCATCTTGCAGGGCCCGGACGACAGCCTCTCTGCGAGCTACGAGATCCCCTGTTTCATTTCGTGGGTGCGCAGGGGGGGGGGGGGGGGGGGGGGGGCGGTTCGGGGACAACCAGGGGCTAGAGTCTAGGGTCCAAGGACCAGGGTAGGTTGGGATCCGAAAGTGCGAAGCACAACCTAATATGAGCATCAGATCGGATCCCATCGTGTCCTGATGTTTGGGAAAGTGATCGGAGGGGTTCCCCAACTTCGGCCCCGAAAGTGCGACTGTCGGGGTTCTGTTGGTCGCTGTAGGGGCCCACCAAGCATGTTGCGCAACGTTCAACGAATACAGGGTTTTGCCAGTCGGTCATACGAGTTTTTCAGACAAATTCTGAGGTCGCCAACAACATCAGACTTAAAGAATAGCCGTCGGAAGAAAGCTTGTGATAAAGGTGGGTGCCCCTAACAAACTGACTTCGCAGAATAATTTTTCCAAACTTGTGATTATAGACTCTATAGACCCTAGAAATATTCAAGCCAGTGCAGCATTTTGGGTTTCCCAGACTTGTTGGGGTGTCTTGGGGTTTCTTACCCGTAGGGCGTCTTGGGGTTTTGGGGTTTAGGGATTTGGGAGGTCTATGTGAACCCCAACCCCCGCATATTTATTTATTTATCACAATATACCCCTTGCAACCTAAACCCTAAACCCTAAACCCTCTTGTTTTGGTTCTGCCCTTCGCTCAGGTCTCCAGGAACCAGAGTCTCCACCTACTCGGCCGCACCTTCTGGGCCTGGCAGGGGCGAGGTCGGGCTCATCAGGCCGCACCAGGGTTTAGGGTTTAGGGTTTGGGGTTTAGGGTTTGGGGTTTGGGGTTTAGGGTTTGGGGTGTAGGGTTTGGGGTTTGGGGTGTAGGGTTTAGGGTTTGGGGTTTGGGGTTTAGGGTTTGGGGTTTTGGTTTAGGGTTTGAGGTTTAGGGTTTGGGGTTTAGGGTTTAGGGTGCAGGGTTTAGGGTGTAGGGTTCAGGGTTTGGGGTTTAGGGTTTGGGATTTGGGGTTTAGGGTTTATTAGGGGGGGGGGGGGATGAGAGGCTTTATAGGGCTGATAGGGTTGATAGGGCTTAGGGTGTACGGGGTTTGCTGGTTGAGGCACAGGGCTTCTATAGGGTCTTTAATAGGGTGTTTATAGGTGGGGTTTATGCGGCTCAGGGTTTGCAGATTCGTAGGGGCGCATGACTCAGATGATGTATCACCCTAAACCCTAAATCCTGAACCCCTACAACCCTAAACCGCCCTATAGGGCTTGGAGGGTGGAGATGGGGTAGGAGGGCTGTTTGGAGGCTAAAAGGCCTTTGGGTTTTGGGCTGTGTGGTGCCACCCCCTGTCGAAGTCTGCGCCTTGGTCGGCTAAGGGTTCCCCAAAGACCCCCTAAACGCCTAAAAAGGGAGGTTTAGGGCCTCGGGTTTGGGGTTTAAGGTTTGGGGTTGAGGGTTTAGGGTTGCCCTGAACCGAAACCCAAACAAGGCAGTACAGTTGGGGGGGCAGGATACAGGAGTGAGGGCACGCCCATGGTTCTGAGATACATATGAAGGTTCATAGGGTTTGGGGTTTAGGGTTTAGGGTTTAGGGTTTCGGGTTGGGATGTATAGGAGGTTTGGGGGCTTTAGGGTTAGTTGCGTTTAGGGAAATGTAGTTGAAGTTGAATCTAACTTGGAGCCTCGAGCCCTATTTAAACCCTAAACCCTAAACCCTAAACCCTAAACCCCCAAAGCTGTTGCTGTTCTAAGCCCCGAGCACTAACTCCAATGCCCTGAGCACTACACCTCTCAATACCCCTGAGCCCTAAACCCTAAACCCTAAACCCCAAACCCTAAACCCTAAACCCTAAACCCCAAACCCCTAAACCCTAAACTCCCATACCCGCACAGGCGGCGACTGCTGCCCTTCAAGCCCTGCTCCTACAGCGCCAGCAGAATGTCGCCGCTTGGCTAGGGTTTAGGGTTTAGGATTTAGGGTTTAGGGTTTAGGGTTTAGGGTTTAGGGTTTAGGGTTTAGGGTTTAGGGTTTAGGGTCTAGGGTCTAGGGTCTAGGGTCTAGGGTCTAGGGTCTAGACCCTAGGTTTGGGGTTTAGGGTTTAGGGTTTAGGGTTTAGGGTTTGGGGTTTGTGCCCACAGGCCGCGGCGATCTTTACGCTCTGGCATCGGCTCCTCCAAAATGCAGCCGGCATGCGGGCCCTCAGCATCGTGGAGGCTGCGGCAGCTGAGGTTTAGGGTTTAGGCTTTAGGGTTTAGGGTTTAGGTTTTAGGGTTTAGGGTTTAGGGTCTTTTTCAGGTCTGAGCTGCGGGATTTAGGATTGTTTTGGGGACCCTGTGTAGGGTTGAGCGCATTCGCCGTCCTACAACCCAAGACCTGCCCGAAGACCCTACCCAAGAGCCCTCAACCCTAAACCCATGAACCCATGAACCCATGAACCCATGAACCCATGAACCCATGAACCCATGAACCCATGAACCCTGAACAGCAGGGTCTGGGCTCCTTTGAAACAGCAGGAGGCCTTCTCCAGCTCGGGGGCTTGGAGGGCTTTTTACCCTAACCCCAAAGCCCGGTGAGCTACTGAGCATGCAGCCCTAAACGCAGCAGGGAGCCCGCCCTTGGTGTGCGTAGACACTGAACACAGCCACCGGGTTCAGGGTTTAGAAGGTTTAGAGGGTTCAGGGTGTAGTCGCACGTGTGCAAACGGCAATTCCAAGCAGCAAAGTGCACGGTGTTTGTGTGTACATGAACGTTTAAATTTGCAACAAAGAAAGTAGGTGGACGCGTGTACATATGATATAAATACACATGTATAGTTTGAGAGAGAGAGAGAGAGCATGTAAAATAAATCAGAAGTCGTTGTGGCAGGCGCGCTGATTTGCTTGTGTGATATCAATAAACAGATACAGATTTCTTGCATACGTGTATGTATCTATCTGATATGCATCTATGCATACGTGTATTTATATACTTATGTATACATACATACATACAGACAGACAGACAGACAGAGACAGACATACACATAGTAGGGCGCACTTGCAGGCATCGCTGGCCGCCCGGCTCTACCGGCGCGGGTGGCTCTCACAGCAGCAGCTGGGGGTGTAGGGCTGTGCAAGAGTTGTTGAAGTTTCAGACTCAGACGCCCTAAGCCCTAAACCCTAAACCCTAAACCCCAAACCCTAAACCCTAAACGCCCTAAACCCTAATTTCCCCCGCCTCAGTTCCTACGCGTTAAGTCCCCATGCAGGCCATGCTCGGACCCGGCGTCGACGGTTCGAGTAAACTGCCCGAAGCCTTGAACCCGAAGCCCCGGAATTCTTACGTCTTTCAGGGTTGAGGGGTTAGGAGTTTAGGGGTTTAGGGTTAGGGTTTCTAGGGCTTATAGGGTTTAGGGCCTTTAGGGTTCAGGGTTCAGGGTGCAGGCTTTATAGGGTTTAGGCTAACCCTAAACCCTAAACCCTAAACCCTAAACCCTAAACCCTAAACCCTAAGCCCCCGAGGCGCCTCCTCTCAGCGCTGATAGCGGCCGGGAGCCGACTCGGGGCAGCTCGCGAGGCCCCGGGAAATTCGGGTGAGTTTTGGGTTTTGGGGGTTTTAGGTCTTTTTCAGATTTAAGGATGTTAGGGTTTAGGGATTTTAGGTCTTTTTCAGGTTTAAGGAATGCTAGGGTTTAGGGATTTTAGGGGATTTCAGATTAAAGGAATGTTAGGGTTGAGGGATTTTTTAGGGGATTTTAGGGCTTCAAGGTTTCTGGATTTTTCGGGTTTAGGGGGCTTTTAGGGTCTTAGGGCTCAGGGATGTTAGGGATTTAGGGGTGTATGGTGTTCGGGATGATTTTCTAGGGATTTTGGGGAATTAGGGGTGTAGGGTGTTCGGGTTTGTGGTTTTTGGGGGGTTTAGGGTTACCTTTTGAGCACCCCAAATTACTCTTGGTAGGTTACCTAACAAAATCCGTTCAGAACGTCTTCTGCTCTCGCACCGAGAACGCTCCATAAACTCATGTAAATCATACACCTGTGAGCCTTGTTGGAACCTCTAGTCCCTAAACCCTACACCCTAAACCCTAAACCCTAAACCCTAAACCCTAAACTCGACGGCTTTCGGGTTTAGGGTTTAGGACCCCATGTCGGAACTGCTGAGCACCATTTTGCCACGGGTCTTGCGCCATCTCGTGATGACTCCATTTCATTGCCGTGCTGCTCCCAGGAACGTTGGGGACTAAACGAACCCTAACATTGGGGTCATATACCCTATGCTACTCCTAAACCCTAAACCCTAAACCCTAAACCCTAAACCCTAAACCTAATCCCTATTAAGGCATATGGGTCGTAAGCCCTTTTGGGGGTTCATGTACGTCTCCAAGGAGAAAACAATCGACCTCACACTCCCTACGCCCCCACAAACTCTCCCAGCGTGTCAGGATCCCACGTAGAGAAAACATCCACCATAAACCCTGAGCAGTCCTCTCCCTTACTACCCTCAACAACCTAGTTTTCCACCTTGATACCGCCTTAAGACACCTGAAGCCACCAGTCAAAGCCCGAGGTCTTCAAACCCCAAACCCTAAACCACAACCCCGCAACATCAAAAAGACCCATTATACACCCTCTAACACCCCATAAGCCCCATAAACCCTAAAACAGGCCCTATAAATCCTGTAAAAAGCCTTACAAACCCCCTAGACCCTATGAACCCCATAAACCGTGTAAAGAATCCTACAAACCCTGTAAACCCCATAAACCCAAAAACACCCATGAACCCTGTAGACAAGAACCCATAAACCCTAAAAAAGCCCCATGGACCCCGGTAAGCCCTAGAAGCACCCGCAAGGTCTTCGAGGCCTAAAACCCTAAACCCTAAACCGAAACCCCAAACCCCAAACCCCAAATCCCAAACCCTAAACCCCAAACCCTAAACCCTAAACCCTAAACCCTATAGACCTCCACAGCATCAAAAAGCCCGCCAGGTCTTCGAGGCCTGGCGAAGCCGGCGCCGCGCCACGGCAGCCGCGCGGCGCGCGGCGCGGCGGCGGACGGCCGACGCGGCCAGTGCGACGGCCACCTGGGCTTCGAAGATGGGGTTCAGGGTTTTTGGGGAACCCTAGAAACCCGAGAAACCCCCAGAAACCCTAGAAACCCATAGAAACCCTATAGAAACCCTACAGAAACCCTATAGAAACCCTATAGAAACCCTATAGAAACCCTAGAAACCCTAAACTCTAAACCTTAAGCCCTACACGAGGGTTCTTGGGATCTCCCGAGGGCCTCCTCCCTCATGTATGTGAGTTCCTATGTCCACACCGATACTGCCAATAGGGGGTGGGGCCCGGGCAAGACCCTAAACCCTAGACCTTAGACCCAAAACCCTAAACCCTAAACCCTAAACCCTAAACCCTGTCCACCCCACAAGGGTGGACCAGGGTTTAGGTCGGAAGTCAGGCCGCGGCGGTGTTTTCGGAGTGGCACAGAGCCACCTCCTCCGTGCAGAAGTGGCGGCTGATCCAGGCGCTGAGGGTTTAGGATTTAGGGTTCAGTGTTTAGGGTTTAGGGTTTAGGGGTTCCTAAGAAGGACCCAATGGTAGTATAGGGTACTATTTGGGGGTGCTACTTTTTGAATCCTCCCAGGGTCTGGGTCACGGCTTCGGGGCTGAGGCTTTGGGACTGTAGCCCCAGACGCTCAACCCTATACCGCCTCGAAACCTAAACCCTAAAGCTATAATTTGGACCCTAAACCCTAAACCCTAAACCCTAAACCCTAAACCCTAAACCCTAAACCCTAAACTTTAGGGCTGCAGAGTTTAGGCGCTAGAGGGCTTCGGGACAGGCTTCAGGGCTTTGGCTCTAGGACTTTATCAGATTTAAGTGGTTCAGGGAGTAGGAGCACGTATGAGGCTTCGTCAAAAGGGTACAGCAACATGGGGGTGTTTAGGCTTGAGACGATTGAGGCTCATGGCGCTGAGGATCTACCTCGAGGTTCATGGTACTTCTGAACCCAATCAGAACTGTACTTACAACCCAAGTATAACCATGTTAGGGCACCCAAGGGGCTTATAGACGTGGGTCACAGGTACAGCTCTAATGAAATTGGTGAATAAGTACCCTTGAACCTGCAAGTAGGTTTAGGGGCACGACTCTGACTGCGCAGACGTCCGCGATTTTGCCTCTGAGCCACAATTGTCCCTTCGAGCATGCAGTTGCAGTGTACTCGTCAACAGGATAGCCCTAAACCCTAAACCCTAAACCCTATACCCGCTTCCCTTACCATCTCCCAGTGCGAGTCAACTTCCCGAATCCATTAATGTTTGTTTCGGCCGCTCCGTGAAAAGTGGAACCCCTCAGACCCTTGATTGTCGGGGACCCAGACTAGGCCCTTACTTCCTTTGTTTAGGGCTGGGGTGCCCTCAAAATAATAATCCCCTTAAGCCAAGAAGGATACCCTTTATTCCTAGGTTACTCCTCGATCTAGTTGTTGCATCTTGAGCGCGGAGCCTCCTCTTACCCCTGTAAGCCCTACAAACATCTAAAGCCCTACAAGCCCTAGAAGCCCCATTGGCCCTACTAAACCCTAAACCCTAAACCCTACACCCTACACCCTAAACCCTGGCCATATAAACCCTGGAATTACGAGCCTTGTTTAGTTGCGGAGACAGGTTTAGGGGGCTCGAGACACTCTTTCCAACAAACGGTAGTCGAGTAATCCGTTCCCCCTAATATTAATACCACCCTAATATAAAAATCCCTCTGGCCCCAAAACCCGGTCCGGCAGTCGTCCCTTTTAATATCTCTATAGAATTAGGGGGCGGGGAAGCCTGAAACTCATTTAGGCCTAAAGCTTGAAACCTGCTCTATGGCTGAGCCGGCAAGCTAGAACGACTGGTTGTTTTGTTCGAAGAACCCGCCCTATTACTAAAACCCCTTTGGGGGTTTTGGGGGGTCTTTATACTGCGGGGGGGGGGGGGGGGCCTTTTATAGTCGGGGGAAGGGATTACATGGGCGTTTTTGTGTGCACGTTGGCCAGCATCCGCCCTAAAGCCTGTAAGCTTAAGACCTCCAAACCTATCGCATTTACCCCGACCCCTAAACCCTAAACCCTAAACCCTAAACCCTAAACCCTAAACCCTAAACCCTAAACCCTAAACCCTAAAACAAAAAAACCGAAGAGCAGACATGCCAGACAGGACCGCAAAACGCGCGTAGCCGATTTCCGAGATCGGAGCCTGCGGCTGATAGACCGACGAGGCTCTTCCGGTTTAGGGTTTAGGGTTTAGGGTTCAGGGTTCAGGGTTTAGGGTTTAGGGTTTAGGGTGTCCCCCCCCCTTTCCATGCAAACAAGCAAACAAAAGAGGGCCTTGCAAGTACAAGTGCGTACCGGTTCTCAGTTAATCTGGTAATGGGCAATCCGGCATAAGGTACCTGATTCCCGATTTCCCTTTCAATATTAATCCCCAGACTACCAAATGCTCGGGCTTCTTTGGGGGTTTTAACAGCAGGCTCCCTATGTTGCGTTGTGGACACCCGCTAGAGCACGTGGCCTTCTATTTAGGTACCCAAAGTCTTAAACCCAAAGACCAGAGGGAGAGATCGTTTAGGATGTAGAAGTGTTTAGGCGTTTGTTTAATGGGTAAAAGGAGGGACCCCTAGAAGGGACCTTTAATCTGATTTCCCATATATACATATATATGTATACATATACACCTTGGTTAGTCACCCCTAACCCAAGCGAAGCACCCAGACCTAACATTGCCCACCCAAGACCGGAAGGCTCTCACAGGTGGTGCCTATAAGCTTGGTTTCGCTGAGGCCTAAAATCTCTAGCTGCTTTTTCTTCGGGAGTATAGGAGGCCACACCAGCGACAGTTTTGGCTAGGGTTCTGGGTCTGCATGGATTTTGAGTAGAGTAGGGGTTAGATTTTCGGCGTTTGCAGTATAGCCTTTAGCTTACTACACTGCTTGCCTTGACCGTCCCTATAAACCCTAAACCCTAAAACCTAAACCTTAAACCCGAAACCCTAAGTCTTAAGCCCTAACCTTTGGGAGGCAGCGGGCAGTGCCCCGCGCTGCTCCAATCGGCACTCCTCGCTTGGGCGTCGCTTGGACACGCTTTTGAGCTCCACTATGTGGTAGCCATGCTCTTCAAGATAGCTCATCAACCCTAAACCCTAAACCCTTAAGGTAGTTACTTCTTGTTGCTTTTCACAGCACGAAGCCCCAACCCCTACAAGGTATGTTCGTTCCTGATGTGCAGTCCGAAGCCCTAAATTTAGGGTTTGGGGTTTAGGGTTAGGGTTTGGGGTTTAGGGTTCTTGCCGACCAGGACCGAATACGACCCTGAGGGAGAAGCAGTAGTGCGTGAGAGCTCTGTCGGTTCCCTAAGTAAAAGGGTAGTTACTTGGGCCCTTAATCTGACCCTAAACCCTAAACCCTAAGCCCTAAGCCCTAAACCCTAAACCCTAAGCCTGGTCCCTTTCCTTCTTCATATTAAAAGGGTTCTGAGATATGGGCCCTTGGGTTTCATGGGGTTGTTATCGGGTTTTTATGGGGTTTAGGGTTTAGGGTTTAGGGTTTAGGGTTGAGGGTTTAGGGTTTAGGGTTTAGGGTTCTTGTTTTGTCTTCTGGGGTCAGACTCAAGGCGTCGCACTCCTGTGTCCTGGGTTCTTGTTTGTTGCGTCTTCTGTGGTCAGCAGATCGGCTTGTCAGCTGTTTAGACAATGCCTTGGGAGATTCAGAATGATACCACATACAAGTTCTATCTATTCTGTCTTGAGGGTTTAGGGTTTAGGTTTTAGGGTTTAGGGTGTCGGCTTTGGAACCAAACTCCCAAAGCCCTTCAGCCTAAACCTTGACCTTTAGGCCCTCCCCAAACCTTCAATCCTAAACCCTTTAACCCGCAAACCCTAACCCTAAAGCCTAAACCCTAAACCCCAAACCCTAAACCCTAAACCCCAAACCCTAAACCCCAAACCCTAAACCCTAAAACCCAAAACCCCAAAACCGAGGAAGATCACCTGTGGCCGCAAAGCTGCTGTGCGAGCGGCTGCCGCGCTCACTGCCGCAGCCACGGCGCTGCTCTTGGGGCAGGCCGGGTTTAGGGTTTAGGGTTTAAGGTTTAGGGGTTAGGGTTTATAGGGTTTCTGGTTCCAAAGCCTGCCCCTTCGAAACCGTAACTCGGGAGTCCGATAAACCTCAAACTCAAACCGTTTTTCCCAAAGCTTCGGGCTTCAACATGTCGTTGAAAGGCTAGGTAGGCCTTTGGGACTGTACATATATATATATATATACATGTATATATATATATATATACATATACATATACATATATATATATATTATATGGTCAGCCCCCCCCCCCCCATGATCCACACCTATGGTTTTCTTGTCTTCGTCTTTGTCTGATTTTCTGCTTTTTCCTCGGAAAAATGCAGTCAAAACTGCACTGGAATGCAAAAAGCTCTAGTATAGTATCCTCTATGAAAACACTAGTGTTTTTATGTGCATTTTGCTTCTGAAACTTGTGTCTTGCGGCCCCATAAAATTTTTGAAGGGTAGCAATTATATATATATATATATATATATATGGGTATATATATACATATACATGTATATATATATATATATATATATATATATTTGTTTTTTCCATCTTGGGTTTAGGCGGGTCATGTTCAGGAACATCTTCAGAGAGGGTCTTTAATTCAGGGCCCATCCTTTTGAGGTCCTCTTCCGCTGGTGCGAGCTCTGCGCTCTCATCCGCCGGGCCGTGAACGACCGCGAGCGGGCGCAGACGGAAGGAGACCTCGAGGCCCCCGGGGTGGTTGGAGGATCTGAAGAGCTAGCCCAGTAGTACCCTTATTCCCTTTTTGGGGGTTTAGGGTTTAGGGTTTAGGGTTTAGGGTTTAGGGTTTAGGGTTTAGGGTTAGTACCCTTATTCCCTTTTGGGGGAATTTAGGTTCCCTTCTAAACCCCTTTAAGCAAAAAAAGGGGCACCCCTTTTTTAAGCCTAGGTTACTGGGCAGCCTAGAGAGAGGGTTTCAGAGTTTAGGTGTCAGGGTGGAGGGTGTAGGGGCGTTTGGGTGTAGTTTATGGGGCTTAGGGTTTAGGGTTTAGGGTTTAGGGTTTAGGGTTTAGGGTTTAGGGTTCAGAGTTTTTTTTCAGGGTTCAGGAGTAGGTGGTTCCGGGTTTTTGGGCTGAGGGTCTCCCTCAAGTACCCCGTCGCATCTTAAAGGGTACTTCCGGGGTCTGGGGAGGCTTTTGAGGAGGTCTTTGGTTGAGGATGCAAGTGTAGACGTTGGGGTATAGGCTAAAGGGTCTAGGGCTGAGGGTTTGGGGTTTGGGGTTTGTAGGGTTTAGAGTTTAGGGTTTCAAGTGTAGCCGCACATCGAATGAGCAGGAGATCCGCGACAGAATTCCCCGGCCTCATTCCAGTTCCTGGGCGTCTTTCCCCGACGGAGTCGAAAGAAGGCGCGGTCAACCAAGTGGCGCAGCACCCTATGGCGGTGGCCAAGGTTCTGGAGAAGCCCAAGTCCGCCAAAGCGGTGAAGGTCCTGGTCGGGATTCTCGGACGAACAAAGAAGTGTTCAACTCAATCTCGATGACATCTTGAGAAGGCTTTGGCCATAGCATCCTCGGCAATCTTCAGGACTGAAGTGGTTTGTCCTAGACCCTATGTAGACCCCCTAAACCCTAAACCCTAAACCCTAAACCCTAAACCGATATGACCCTAGACCCTAAAGCCTGAGCTTAAGGGTCCATGCATGCACCTTATTATATACTTGGGCCCGAAA